AACACGCAGGTGGTGCGGCAGTGTGTTTGGGAAGCACCTGAATCTCCTTCGCACCGCCAGCATGTTGACAACAGTGGCTCCCCACGATCAGCTAGCCCTCGTAATGGTGTCATAGGACGCTTTGACATCACCCGCAGTCCACCACTGACTGTGAAAAAGAACCCGGCTTTCAGCAAAGGCAGTGGGATCGTTACAAACGGCTCCTTCAGCTCCTCGCCCTCTTCAGACCCCAATCAAGAAAAGAGCCAGACTTTGACTGGAGGTGGGAGTTTGCCAGTGCGGCGCAGTGGGACGCTCAAAGGCTCCGGCACAAAGATGGGCACCAGTGGCGTAACCAGCGGCAGCAGCACCGGAGGGAACGGGACTGGAGCTGTGCGGATGGGCATTTCTGGCTCTGATGTGGTCACAGGAAGTCTGAACGGCCGCAACGGTCTTTGGGTACCAAATGGTTGTGTCACGTTACGCGAGAACAACAAAACACGTGACTGCTCCAATGGGGATCAAATAACCAATCAAAACCGCCTGTCCACGTATGACAATGTCCATTTAAACCATCAGAACCTGCACCAGCAGAACCAGATCACCAACACGTGTCTGAACAGCAGCTGTGAGGACAAGCAGAGTGTAGACAGCGCCACGTGGTCCACCTCCTCCTGTGAAATCTCTCTTCCTGACAACTCCACTTCCTGTCGCTCCTCCACCACCACCTGCCCTGAACAGGACTTCTATGGAGGTCACTATGAAGACCTGGATGGACAAGCACAGGATAATGAGCCTGCCCAGTCCGGTGGAGGGGCAGAGGGGGAGGGCAGAAACAGCAACAGAGAAGGAAGTGGAGATGGAGCAGGGAGGAGCAGTCGTGGCACCAGCAGTAGTGATAATAGTGATTGTTTCACTGGTGGTAATGGACCCGGCAGTCACAGTGCTCTGCACAGCTTAGTGGCCAGTCTTAAACAGGAGATGCACAAGCAGAAGACCGAGTACGAGGCCAGGATAAAGAGGTAGGGTCTCATCTGTGTTTTCTGATGACATTAGAAAGACGTTGCTAAAGATAAATTATACCTATAGTTCTATAATTTGGCAAGCAACTTTGTATCTACGATCTACATTATTATATTGTGACGGAATATTAATGAATACATACCATACACTCAGTTACCAGTTTGTTAGGTACAGCAAGGTAAAACTAATGCAGTCTAAAGCAACAGCCATGAAATAAATACAACCACTTCAACATCAACACTTCTCTAAAACCGGTTAAAAAAGAAATTAATATTGTAACCTTGAACCTAACTAATACCTAATTAATTGGCCATTGGAGTGAATAACTCCAAATGGTATCTAAATCAGGAGATAAATTTACTTGTAGAAATTAGCTATTGTTAAGTCTTTTTAAAGTTGCTGTAACAAAACAGCACGGAATGTGGTGTGGTAAACTTCTTCAAACAGAATGTCCTGTATGAAGCATTGATTGAACAGATATTCCAAATCTCCTAAACACTAGAGAAATGATGACTTAAGCCGCAGTATGAAATTCATTAAACTGATTAACTACAGATGTTATCCACTTCTCCTGACCCTGTGTTAACCTCCTTTGCAGCTTGGAGCAGCGTAACCTGGAGCTGGAGACCGAAATGGTAAGCCTCCATGAAGAGCTGGACCAGGAGAGGAAGAAGTACACCATGGCGGAGATCAAGCTGCGCAACGCCGAGCGCGCCAAGGACGACGCTGAGCGGCGAAATCAGATGTTGCAGAAAGAGATGGAACAGTTTTTTTCCACGTTTAGTGACCTCACTGCAACTGGCACCACCACGGCGGCCGACCCCCGCCGACCAGATCATAACAGCACCATCTGGATACAGTGAAGGAAGGCGGGGAATTGGGGCTGTGATGTCAGTGCAAACTGGAAACGGTTTATTATGTGATGTGAACATTACGAGGGCTCCAAACAGGATTTGGCTGCTGGTTGTAGAGGGAAAGTTGGGAAGTTACATTGCAAAGGATGCAAGCATGTTTTAATTTAAGAAATAGGAGGTGTAGGGCTAATTAAAGCCACCTGTATAAAAGTACACATCACCTGGAGTGATGCCCGACTGACATTATCTGTAAATACAGCATTATTTAAACACTCTCCAACCTACTCAAAAACTGGTGGTAATCAGAGTGGAGCAAAGGCACAGTACACCATAGTCTACGATGATACACAGTTCTACTATTATTTTACTTTAGCTCCTAGAGCCATAATTGGACAGAAGGCAAAACATTAAAGGTTGTATTCAGTAACAAAAATTAAAATAAATACCAGCCATGGACATGAAAACACAAAGACAATGCAAAAACTCCTCCCTATCTTAATTCACTTCATTCAAATCAATTCAAATCTAACCAAAAACATGTTCTTGTTCCATGTAACTCTGTATCTGCTCATGTACATAGTGGGAAACAATGCAGAAAAAAGTGTCGTATGTATGTTAAAAGAAAAGTAATACGTAAATGTTTATCTGATATTTAAGCAAAGTTATCAACTTGTGATATTTTATATTAAGATTGTTTTCCTTGCACTTACATGTTTGTTTAGTCTCTGCAAGGTGGTACTGAATGTTCTGTCGGTCAATGTGTGTACCATTTAAATTGGACAATATACTGTATATGTGCCTGTGCTTCTGTGCTGTTTCATTTACCCCATGACCAAAAAAGAGCTTGTACTGTAAATATTTTATAGATAATCGTAGACACTACTTGTTAGTCTGCACTGTGGTTTGACGCATATTCAGATGGATATGGCATGTATTGAGTGGATACTGATTGAGAATGTTTTATAGCTTGTAAAAATGAATTCTAAGCCTTGCACGATGGGTCATTGGCATAATTCCCAGAAAAAATAAAAACGTCTGTCATGAATTCAGAATTTCAGGTGGCAAATTGTACTCTCCCCCATTAACAGATGTGCTGTCACTCTATGAACGCTCTTGGGAATTACAGTTTACAGGCTGCCTCGAGCCCATGCGATTCCAGTTTTAAAAATACTCTCATGTCGTCTTCTGACAATTCATCCACCTGGCGAAACTGGTTTTCATCCTAACCTAGCACAGAATAATAAGCTTCAGCAACAAAGTACCGACACAGAGTCGTGTTTGTGGGTCATAACTGTGAAAAGGGGGGATTAGAGCAAGTGTGTCACCATTGAAGACATTAACAGCCTGATTGCTAGATTCAGTAGCAAGTGATGTGTGCATGATGGTGCATGAGTCCATGATGACCAGTGTACAATAAGTGAATGTCTGTAAAGTGACTGCATATTGATGAAGTCTATATGAGTGTATTTATGTCGCTTTAAACCAAATGTCTACACCCAATGTGGATTTAATGGGTACAAAACAGGACACATCTGAGACATCTGAACAGACCTGAGCTGGACTTCTGTCAAAAGAAGTATACGTGTGCACAGGCCTGCTGCTGGCTACTCTTCCTCTGAAGACCAGGTCCCATTTAAACCTGCTGCTGGTCAATGCAGGACATCTGGAATGTGCACATGGAGTTAAAAAAGTGCCTGAACAACTGAAGGAAGGAGGGGGAGCCTGTGCTTCTCATTTTGCACCCTTCACTGGGAAGTAATAGGCTTAAGCCGAGCTGACAGTGGCACCTCGTTCTGTGAATTCCACACAAAAGAGCAGATTATGGACACAGATGGAGAGGAAGACTGGGATAGTGGAATATTTTCATGACATGATACTTGATACACAAAATAACTTCAAAAAAATGATATGAATAAAAATGCATTTTCATGTGAGTCCTTTTGTTATTTACTTTTTGAGTGGGTCGAAACATTTTGTATTTAACACTTCTTTGTGATAATGAAGTATTTGGCATGAGATAAACCTGAGATTTATAACATCTTTTACAGTATTTTATGAGAATGTGTTATCAGCCCAAAAAGTCCCAAAAATGGTATTGACTAAAACGGCCCATAAAAACATTACAACTGCAACTAAAAAATATCATGTTATATATAATTTTAGATCTCAATATTGATACATTTTCTGAAAAAACAACTCAAAACGTTAGTTTGAAAGGTTAGTAGATAAAATAACTACACAGGAGAGGTCCAGTATGTAGCATTTAGGAAGCGCTTTTGGCAGAAATGGGATATAATATCCATAGGTATGTTTTTTAATGATCACCATTCATATAATCACCTGAATATAGTTATGTTGTGTTTTTGTTACCTTTGAATGAGTCATTTTTGTCTACAGATGCTGAGGGTTAGGGGTTAGTACAGTAGCACAGAATGGACTAAACACTGCCTGTAGATAGGGCCTTTTTGCAAGTTTCACGACCACCGTGGTTTCTCCTACACAATTCACAGCCCGTTCTCATTCTCAGGTCGTCAAATACAGACGTAAGAAGTAAGTTGAAATCTGCAACTTCACCGCTAGATGCCACTAAATCCTGCACACTGGACCTTTAAATGCCTGCCAGTCCTGAATACCTATATACTAATATAAATTTACTAATACAAAAAATCATATACATATCCAATATTGCCAAAAAGTAGTCCTGCTCAGGGTCTTATATGATGGTATATTTACCACGGTATAAAAGATACAGCAAACTCAGTGGCAGGAAACTGATTAATATAATCTTGTGGTATATATATTCATATTTCCTGTAATATGAAACCTCTGAAGTGGGAAAATGTCAGTGCACTTGCTTTCATCCAGCACCACCAGGCAACATATTTTGTACTCATTCTGCCTGATAACTTGCTAATGGATGCCAGTCTTTAGATTGTGTGTCCACCAGAACTGAAAGAGCCTGAAACTGAATTAGAGTCTGTGTAGGTGGGACTCAGCGTCACTGTGACAGTTTGGACAGATGGTTGCTATTGAGACGAAGACCAGAAACACTATAGGCACATAGAAACCGAACATATTGAACTGCAAATTACTGGTGGTAAAAGAAATAAAGAAACAGCATAGTCCAAGATCAAAGGTTTTGTTTATTTTCAATCACATACATATACTATTTTTACATACACAGTTCCTTTAAAATGTTGTGTTTACAGTAACAGCTTTCAGTAATTTTTTTCTTTTTCTTTTGCATTTGTTTTGACTTTATTTGAAACGCTATAGCCTGAAGCTTTGAGATCAGCGTGAAACAGATACAATTTCTTTTTTTTCTTTTTTCAACCTGACAATGTCAAAAAGAATGATTTATTAAAACAGCACGGAGTAAAAGAAACAAGAGAGAAGGAATCATAAAAGAAACGAAGAACAACATCACCTGATTCAGATGAGCTATACAGGGTTTCATCATTGTAGAGTTCCACATTTCAGTCCACATTTAAGACTCTAAACATTTTAGCATCACCTGACCCTTGCAGTAGCTTGCCTCCCTGTCTGAGTGCAATAAAGTGTTTATTGCATGGTTGGATTGTTGTTATTTACAATATGACTTGAAAGAAAGAAGTGAAAATCAATAAACCAGGGATCACAAGTACTGAGTCCAAAGATTTTATGTTGGCACAGCTGAGTACAAGATGTATCCTAACTTGTGACACATATTTCATATTGGCAATAGTCAACCATCTTCAGATTACAAATAAGACATGAATTTGGCTAATTCTGAATCCACAAGAGATCGTTTTTTAAGTCCCTCGTGACAAAAAATAGGAGCAGGATTGGTAGTTGACACATTTCTAATTCTAAGGTGAATACAAACATGAACTACATCCAAACACATGACTGTACCAACTCCCCATCAAACATTCTTGAAAGCGATCCCACAAACGCCATGATCTTGTATTGAAAGAGGGATCTTTAAATAATCTGTCCAGATGCCAAATCACATCTTCCAATTCAACCTTACAGACAGTTTGTGTTCAATGCTGGTTAATTTGAAATCACACACACACACACACACACACACACACACACATACACACTGATGACAAAGCAGAGCAGCAATCACGTGAGTGGAACAACTCATTTCTACATTCAGTGCCGACAACCCAGCTGTTTCTGTGTTTCTGTGTTAGAATCACGTCTGCTTCCTAATCAAGCACCTTTTTATTACAACAGAATTGTCTGGAGGGACGTCTTATAAAAAAGATCACATTCAGAGACATAAAAAAAAAAAAAAAAAGGTTTTAATATTTGTACTCAGTGACCAGGACATGTAAAACAGGAAAATAATAATGTAATGGGGTGGTTAAAAATGCCCTGTAGAATAACTGCAACAGTACCATGAGTATTTGTGGTGTAGGAGTCGACTCAAACACAGGACCCCGTTGTGAGAAATTCATGTGAACATTTTCAAAACACAAAAAATGTCAAAGTTGCACCCTGTTTTTGAAGGATTGCCCTGGCCAGACCCTGAACAGAAAGCCAAGTTAGCCGTAGCTTATTCTGGAGACGCCGCCCTCAGTTACCCTCTTAGCTCTGTGAAGGTGCTGTAAGTCTGTGTGTGGTTCACTGTACACAAGCCACAGGCAGAGCGAGTGTTAACAAAGTAGCTATTGGAGGTTATGTATACAATTTCGCGAGAAGGACTGTATTATACAGTGACTGGGTGCTTTAGTTAGACTCCATGCAAAAAGTAAACCCCTGTGCTGTAGCAGAGATACCGTTATACTGTCAAATGACGTGTTAGGAAACAAATATATGTATAACAGTGCAGTCACCATATCTCCTCGAGGATGTTTTAAAATGTCATGACTGGGACTGAACCTTTACTGTAAACTAGTAGACGTATGAGCCATGCAATTTCCATAAGTAAGAAATATAGTGATATTCATAGGAATTGTTGTAAATGGTGTTTTGACGTGCTGGAAGGAAACACAGACGTCCCCATTTGCTTCATTAAGGGACAGAGAAAGCATCCTTGAGTATCTCGTTTGTCTAGAAACCTCATGTATTTTTCTATGTTACCTGTTTGTCGAGTGATAAAACACCATGAGACAGGTAATCCAATTTATTATGCATGCTATGCATAAAGTAATTTGTTTGTCTTGTTCACACAAACACAGCTTACAAATCCTAAAATGTCTTTCAATCAAACAGCAGAATTATTAAAAGAGAAATAATTTCTTTGTTTGTAAGATATGATCTTTTTGCCCATAAACCCACCAAACCTGCGCGAGAACATGAAAGATGAGAATTCCGTTTTCTCATTCACTTCTAACAAAGTATAAATAACATATACACAAATAAAACACTAATAGGTCACCTACTTGGTTTCAAGTTGTATTTTATCTAAAGTGTGAAAAGAAAGCTGTAGTAACACTTTAATTACAATCAAGAATTGCATTCACAACTGCAGCTAAAATATTGTTGTGAGTAGTGAAAATATAGTTCATAGCCTTGGTTGTGGGTGCTTTATTGTATGTAGGTGAGGACTTTGTCTCCTTTGATTCCAGTCTTCCAAACATACTGTACATCTTTTTAATTTGTTCTTTCTTTAAATTTAAAAGAGAGCAAAATAAACAGCTGCCAAGCCTTTGACAAGTTCAATGCAAACAATGCATGCCTGTGTGTCCCAGTTTGAGAAAATGTGGTCACACTATTTTATGGAGAATCAGTTTGAAGGAGAAATTAAATTAAATCAAGATGAAAAATGGTGAAAAAGCTTTCATGTTGTGTAAAAACGAGCACAAGCATTACTTTAAGCCATAGAATCTGAGGAAAGCCATTTGATTTTACACCACAAACGTTCACTGTCACTGGCTGAAACCTGAAGTCAAAGCGCCAACATCTGGCCAAACACAGCTTTTTAGTTTCCTTTAATGTTTACACCACATTTCCACTTGGAGAGTCAGATAGTTTTAAGGCAGAAAAAGAAGAAGCAGAGGGGAAAATACCAAAAATAATATAATTTCTGCACTTGCAATGCTTCATTCCAAAAAGGCACTTGCCATATTCAGTTTCCATCGATAAAAATAAAGTAATGAATAAATAAATCTTCCCGCTAAGAAATAATGTACTTAACTGTTGGGGGGTCCTCTATCCAGTTCCTTTTTTTATGCGTTTTTGTATACTGCTCATGAGTTTACTTCAGAACAAAATGCTACGAGGTTAACACTCATCGCCCGCCTTTAAACTACCAACTGCATTATTTGTATCTCTTTCTAAAAGCCTTCTGTGTTTCAGTCAAATAAATAAGAATAGTCTCTCTGTGTGGTAACACCACAGTGAAACAGACCAACCTCCTGTGCCTATGAGGGATTAATGGTACACAATGACATGCAGGGCTGTGGGCCAGCCCGTGGGGTGGTGGAGGGACCGATCATACACTGCCAGGAGAAATAAAAGGGGCATTACACACAAATCAGACTTTTTAAACTCCTTATAGGTGGAAGCCTGTGCACAATCAAAATAATTCACTCTACTGAGTGTACTGACCCTTTAAGTCCCGAACTCAGCCCTGACATTTACTAATGTCTTAATGGCTTGCCTGTTGTTAACAAACACACACACGCACACACACACATACACTCACTCACACACACAGTCCTATCCAGTGACCAGACCCCCCATGTCTGGAGTTAGTTTACATCGTATATAAACAAAGGTCTCTATAAAGACTCATTTTAGCATACAGTGAGATTAGCATTGTTTTAAATCTAACCATGCAGGACTACAGCGATAGGCAGGGGCAACTGAGGTGGAAAGCAGTGATGTGGCAAGGTGCGCTAGTCAGAGAAAAAAAAAAAACTCCCAGTGTACTGGCCGTCAGTCCCACTCTGTGTGCCCTTCAGCTGTACAGAATTACATTATTTACAAGTAGTGCAGGGAGCGCCGCGCTGCGTGAGAGCGACTACATGTCCCTGCAGAATAACCACATAAAAACACACAAATCAGGCAACCTTACATTGGGGATTGTGTTGGGTGGGGACATCTAAGACAAAGCCTAGAGGTTAAAATACAGCAGTGTCGTCACATAAGGGTTGGATAAAGGGGAAAAGGAGAATGAAGTTTGTATTGTACAGTAGTGATGAGCAAAATGGCAGCCCACCTTGCCACAATGATTGGAGCATAAATGCTTTTGTAAGGATTTGGGAGACCAGCAGCCGGCCAATATGCACTTTACAGGAGATGCAAGTCTAAGCATTTGGTCATTTTTGTTTGGATGCCATATACAAGATATGTGGGGTAATATAAGCAAAGCAACTAGAGGATCATTAACATATATCTCAGCTCATTTACTCATTTATTTTTCAGTTTAAATACCACTGCTGTTTTTGAATGACAATGCACAGGCTTTAGATTTCATCATTTCAGATTCTGTTTCCATAACTCGTGTTTTTGTTCTTAATATATTCATTTTGATCTTTACTCTTTTTTTAAAGTATTTTCCATTGGTCATTTCAGGGTGGGTTCTTCACCTTCGGAAGAACATGGGGTTGCGCAGGCAGGCCGCTAGTCACCTGCAACACCCCAGGGGTCCTGCAGAGGTCTCCAGGCTGCTGTCAGTGTCTGATGCCAGGGTCTGGTCGGTGGACATGGAGGAGATGTCGTTTATGGAGGAGGAGGGAGGGAGGCTCTCGCTGCTGTTCACGGCTGCACCTGTGCTAAGGGAATCAACAGCAGCAGGGGGTTACAACGTAAAAGATTCCTGGCAAAGATAGGTGCAGAAATAAAACTAAGTGTTGAATATAGCTGAATTTGTTTCTCTGACATCGACAACATCAACAACAGCTGAGGAGCACCACAATCACAGTGTGTCTATGATGAGACAGGGGTAAGTGAGGTTTGAGTCCAATGAATTTCACAGGAAATATCGTCCAAGGCTGCAGTATTTCATCCATAAGAGTGGACGCGCCAGCAAGTAGTTGCTTGATAGCATTTTAGTATAAATCCAGACGTGGTAAGGATTTAATTATTATTAAATATTATCTTGTTTTAATGCCATAAACATGCGTTGGTATGACAATATTTATGATTTATGTATCACAAAAGGACTACGGCTATGGCTTGCGCAGGCATTCTCCCTGTTTTTTAAATAACAATCTGATTTTCTCATATTGATCTTGTTTTGAAGTCAAAGGCAGAAGCAGCGGCAAGAAACATTTTGAGATTTCATTAAAGAACTCTTAATTCAGTCTGCTCAGCTGCTATGCTGTCTTTAGTAATGCAATTAAGACTCCATTAAATACCCTAAAGGTCTCTGTTTGATGATTTTCTTGCATTTTCTTTCTTTCTTTCTGTACCTGGATTGGATTTGTCCATAATAGTGAAAGGTTTCTAATACTGCTGGAGGTTTGGAGGCTGACACATCTCTTCAATGCTGTGTGGATCTGGGGACTAATCTTGGGCTAGCAGACAAGGGCGTTAATCTCAATTTTCAAAAGGAAGGAACAGAAGGTATCAAGGAACCCCACTGCTCAACTTCTGTGTGTTTGGGCAGCACTTTCATCAAATCCTCAGTGAGTGGGTTTTCTGTTTATCAACAAATCAATAGAAAGATGTGCAGCCTCAATATACCATGGGAGTTGAAAGAGTAGCGCCAGATTAAAAAGGATAAGGATGAGAATATAAGGGTATTGCCAATAAGAGGACATCGCTAAAACAACTGCTTTTACTTCCAAGCAGTAGTCCTGTAATTTCTACAGAGGACATGTACAGTGCAGGCAAACTATAAATCGTGTCTGTTCCCTGTGGGAGGTAATTGCTTAATGGAGACTGGTGGGTACTTCAGCTGACCCAAAATAAAAAAACGGAGAACAAAGCAGGATTAATGGCTGGCATTAATTCCAGCAGTCACTTCACTTGCTTTACTTACAGTAAATACATCAGAAATATCTGTTAAAAGTCACCATGTGGGTGCAGCATAAGTTTAAATCTTGAAAGATGACTTGAGCATAAATCCAGCAGTTGTAAGAAGGATTACTAAAATGGAGGATTAATTAAGCTTTTCAAATCATAAATTAATTAATCTTGGGAGAAACTCTGGCAGAAGTTGTGATGTAAGGTTACAACTCTTGCCGTGCGCTGCTTTAGCTCTTCTAATAAAGTCTAAACCATCTTGTACTGTACAGCCACCCTCTGCACTCAGTGAACTTAACCATCCTTTGATATCTCCAGAGACATAAAAGGCTCATGTGAGTTACAGAATGATCATGAATATGTTTATAACCTCTCATTGAACAGCCACATCAAAATCTGTCATACAGTCATGCTTCTTTCAACTAAGGAAAATCTGCAAGATTAAGCCATTTCTCTCAACAAAATCTCAAATCTGGAAACAGTCATTCATGCTTTCATTTCATCTCGCCTCGATTATTGCAACTCCCTTTCCTCCCTCTGCAGCAGAAAGCCTCTCTCCTCGTTACAGTTGATTTAAAATGCAGCCGCCAGGATTTTAACAGGTACCAGAAAACGAGAACACATTACAGCTATATATCCTTTCATCTCTGCACTGACTGCCTGTTTGTTTTAGAGTAGATTTTAACATTTTAATAAACACTTTTAAGGCATGAAATGGGCTGGCCCCAAGCTACAGCTCGGAACTTTTAATCCCCCATGTGCTTCCATGAGCCCTGAGGTCCTCATATGCAGCTCTCCTGGTGGTTCCCAAAACAAGATTAAAAAACAAAGATAATTTGCCATCAGAGCCCCCAAACTGTGGAACAGCCTACCAGAGGAGATCAGGATGGCAAATTCTATCACTGCTTTAAAGTCTCTTCTTAAAACTTATTATAGTCTTGCCTTTCTGTGATCCTGTTTTCTAACTTTTTCTTTTCTGTTATTATATGTTTTCTGCCTTTCGTTTTCTTCTTTCCTTGTAAATGACTAGATGTCATTGTAAATGAGGGTCGGCCCTCAATGATCTCTCCAATATAAATAAAACTTGAATGAATGAATGCAAAAACTTCTGCAAAACTGCAAAACAAATGCTGTAGCACCGGCCTTTCAATATCTCCATAAATACAGCATTAAAGCCTGATTCTGAGGCATTGTGTGCTCTCAACTCTTCTGTTTTCGTGTCTGCTACACTCAAACACTATAGGCCAGCCCATCTGCTTAATTACTACTGGATAGCAAAAAAAGAAGAAAGATGGTGGTGATGAATGTGTGAGACAGAGTCAGAAAAAGAAGCAGCTGTTGCTGCGTTAATGTGTATGTGTTAAAGTCATCATATGAGCTCTTACGACTGTAAAGTCTCATCTTTCTTTTGTAATATTTCAGCTTAAAGATACACTTTAAGCTTAAAGTTGTCTAAGATAGTAATATTTGCTATTTTGGCCCAGCTCAGCAAAGCAGAAGGATTATAAGCTTTCCACAAGAACAGGGTTTCTACACTGATTGGTCCCTAAGGAGGGTATGGTGAGAGACAATGTCTAGACTTCAATGGATGCACATTCACTTCACTTCCTGTTCACATGAGCAGATGCTACTGTCTCTGCAGGATTTAGCTTCAGTTTGCTTTTCTAATCTTCAAAATTCACCTGTGTATTTCTTTTTTTCATTGTTGTTTTTTTAATGGAGAATGGCTGTTATCTTTAATTGCTATTTTCCACATGGATCACAGTGAGATCTGGGTGGCCTGGTCAGTGTGCTACCATGACTCCATACTGCCTCTCTGTGGCAAAGTGTGGGAACAGCATTTTGGTCCTTTGCAGAGAACAGAACAGTATGAGATGTCAGCTGCAGCTGAGGACAGAAATTTCCTGTGATGGACCCCAAAGGACCCAAATCTTAAGTTAAGACGTGTTATACATACAAATACACACACTCATAAAAGTACACACATTATCTGCTATTAAATATTGTGCACTATGAGGCAATCTTAGCAATTACTGATTAACTGTCCTACAACGACCATTTAACAAATACACTTGGCACAACACTACACAACATTTAACTTATTTAAAAACAGGAGATGCAGGAGACAGAGACACATGGTCAACAACACGATGGGTTTATCTATTTACTCCAGTAAGGTTATAGTAAATTCACTTACAGAGCGATTAGGGTTATGCACTGAGAGTACCTGAAGGTGAAGGCTGTCCCTTCACAACGCCATTCTTCGTTCTCTCCTCAAAGTTCATCACCTCTTTATAGATTAGTTCTGCAGAGGAGGAGAGAAAGTCATTAAAACATGCAAAGTGGTAAAATATATACATATACATATAAAGGGCAAGGACTAATTTATGCCTTTTGTTCCCTGGACTATTTAATGACTGAAACAAACAGCACAAAGAAAACACAAATATAAACACAAGAAAATGTTAATTTTTGTGCGTTAATGTACTATAATGTAATTCTTACCTTTCCATTCATCAATGGAGTGTTCTCTTTCATCCAGCTGCTTGTCATAGATTTGAGGTGGAGGCTAAAGGGAAGAGAGTACAGCCATTTTAGCTAACAACCTACTCAACAAGATTTACATGAAATATAGATGGCTGATATCACTGGGTATCGCCAGGTGGGAGAAACAACAGTAGATACAAGATTTGACAAGTTTACATAATGATGCATCAAATTTGGCAACATGAAATTGTTGACTAATAAATAAAAAATATGGGGATAAAAAAAAAAATCTGAAAATGAGAAACACCATCTATTAACTGACACTTTAACATGTACTGTATGTACACAAATACATGCTGGGGTACAAAGTAGCAGCACATGTGGATTATGAAGAAACTAAATCATGTAAATGAAGAAAAATAAAATGTATTTAACCATAATCACATAAAAATGGTGTTTTTTTTACATAATTGAAACATCAACACATTGTTTGTCCTCACGCATATATATTACAATACTTCAAAACTTGAAATAGGATTAAACAACTGAGAGACAGTGAGATAAGAACAAATCTGGTGGGTTGTCTAAGCTAAAGTGCCAATGTCCTTCTCCCATAGGACTGTGATTTCATCTAACAGGACACAAATATGCTGTCCGGCACCCAGTCAACCCTTCTTATCGTCACTCATTCATAGTGATCCTGCCCCAGACTCTGACACCATAATCTCCCTGCAGGTGACAGGACTACCCATAAACCTCTCTGACGTGAACTTGGAGGGACAGTGTTCACCAGAAGACAGAAGTGAGACAAACAAACAGGAGTACAGGAGTTTACTTTTCAGCTTAATAACAGCCTAAAGGTTGCTTACATGCAGCCCTGTGGACATAGCTGCAGCCCTTTTACCTGCAGCTATACACTAATGACATTTTAGTACAATGCCATATGCAGATTGTATTTCATTCTTTATAACATGTGTATTATAAAAGTTTTTAATTATGCTCAATGATTGACAGTGCTTACTCCTTTAATCGACACTCTTTACAAACAAAGGTCCTGTTGAATATTTCTTTTTGATGTAGGGCGGTTGTTATTTACCATGGATATTTGGATGAGATCTCTGGCCTTCATCAGCATGAGATGACATTAGAGAAAGGGAAAACAGCAGAAAATGTGTTGAAATGCCATTCACAGCCATATCATACATACCACATCAACTCTAACATCAATATCATCATTAAAACCATCAGCAACTAGACAACTTAGACAAGTGCACAAGTCATGAAATCCTCTAAAAATGATTAATAACTACAATGGAGGTGTGTCATGTGGCGTCTTTACAAAAGCTACTGTTAACCAGTGGGATATTTCACGGAGCAAACAATAATTTCTGGTCATGCACTCATTAGTGTATTGCTGCAAGTAGAAGTGGTATCTGTACAACTTTATGGAGCTGCAGATGGCTTTTTCCCAATCTCCTTGTCACCTCATACTAATGAGGCGCTGATGAAGAAATTAGACTTCACCAAATAAACCAGAAACACCACCACTCTTATTACAAAACAGAACAATGCACTAAGTCACTCTTTTATAAGTAGCAGCAAGAATTGACTTTGTTTAATTGGGGGATATTTTAAGGAATCTAAAAACTATTAAAGTTCAAAACTAAAGTATAAAAAATAAGTGAGAGAAAAATGAAAATGAGATGCGAACCAAAAATTTAAAACACAATCATAAATGTGCTGATGCAGCAATATTCACTGATACAGAGCATACTGTTAAAAACTGATATCCGTGTTATCAATCAGTATAATTGCTTTTGTTTAAAAAAATAAAAAATAAAATGGGGAGAGTCATCCATCATCATTATATTCTGTGCGACAATGCAAATATAAAGTAAACAGTGCTGACCATTTAAAGACAGGAGGAAAGGATTGAGCTCGGGATAGTAATCAATACACAGCTCTCATAGTAGATCTAAAGGCCTACTCACCGCCTCCACCTCAGCTGGATCATACCACACGTTGATGTAGGGGTGCTGTAAGGCCTCGTCCACCGATATCCGTTTAGCGGGATCGATGATTAGCATCTTAGACAGCAGGTCTCTGGCCTGGCTAGCTGTGGTTTGGAAAAATATACATTTATTTATCTGGTTGAGATCATAAGGCGAGAAAATATTCCTCTCGCAGTCACTATGCCAAGGGGAAAGTGAAACACAATAAAAAGCAGAAAGGGAGGAAAAGAGAGAGAGAAGTGGCAGGGATTAAAGAGAATAATAAACAGCAGCAGCTTGTCAATGGGGTTAGGAAATAAACAGACCACTTGTTCCGGAAAACAGTATTTTGACTACTTGTTATGATGATTTATGTAGGCGAAACTGATCACATGTATGTAGTGCAGAAAAATCTGCACCAACCATCCAAAACTCTCTTTCTTTTTTCATCTAACTGAATTTCACAACTCTGGCTTATTCCATATTCTACTGTTTATCTCTGATTAATGCAAAATTCAGTTCTTGGCACCATTTTTCAAAGGCTGATTCAGTCAACTTGGTCTGAAATAATACATGAAATCTTGCTCTCATTGGTGTCTTTCTAAATCTAGGACATCAGTATATAAAAAGCACTGTATTTTATAAGACATTTGGCTTCTCAACATACAAAAACGCCATCAGCATCAGCTCAGTCGGTCAGACTCTCTACCCTCAGGCCCTCTTGGACTGATCTGAAATCGAGAACCCTTTAACCACACACCATCCCTCTCCTACACACTGACCCCACTATAAATAGCTCTATAGCAGGAAAGGTCTGAAGAAACCGAACTGAGAACAGAAGAAGACAGATGAGACAGGTGCACCGTCTGCATTTTGCCTCAGCACCGACACGTCGATAACAAAAGGATGGTAAATCTGTAAAATGACTCCTCCATCACGCTCCTTCCACCCTCCCTTCCCGTCTTTTCATCCTACAGTACTCTCTGTCTGTCTCTTCCTCCTACATTTCAAAAATACCAAAGCCCAAAGGATGTCTGCCTCAGTTCCAACCTGTGGCAGAACAAAACATACAAAACAGCAGCACTTCAACCCGGTCTCACACCCTTCCCACTCTCTCTATGGGTGCATTTCCTTTAACACTGTCAAACCGGGGAGCAGCCAGAATACAAAAGTGATTCATGAGAATTTTACCAGACAGGAGCTTTGATGGAGGAGCGGGGAAACAGAAAAGGCACATTTTGCTATATCTCATTTGAGGGAATTTCCACTTTTTAAATTGCTGTGAAGAGAGATTGCACTTTTCTGCTGAGACAGTCACAAAGAAATGATGTCTTGGTTAAACGTCTGCATAAGACTAGAATTCACAGGGGCTCACAGAATGAAGTTCATAAAAATATGTTAGTGAATGCGTTTCAGTTTTATACGGAGACCCAAAGGTGTAAAATAAAAGTTTGAGGTAAAAGTTGACCTGAGTAAAAGTTGTATTCGCTATATATCAAAAAAGAGTCCACAGACACCCTAGTGCTTTGAGCTAAATGCTAATATTGAAACAATGAAAATTGGAAACATTAGCAGGTATAATGTTCATCATCTTAGTTTAGAGTGTTAGCATGCTAGCATTTGCTAATTAGCACTATATTGTAGATATTTAGTTGAAAACTTTTGACCTGATAACAAAAAGCGAAAAAATCAAGTGGCATATAGCTGTCTGTTACAAATCTCGTGGCAATCCATCCAATAGTTGTGGTAACACTTTACTAATTTCTTGAGTGACAATGCAACATTACTTGGCAATAACTGCTTTCCTGTTAAAGTGCTGTGAAGCAGAGGTAGTCAAGACCGCCCCAAGACTATATAATTTATTGAAACATTTAATGGACAGACATCACATTTCTATTATGATGTATAGCAGGCATTATGATTTTAACAGCATCTCCCCAGTACTCAGTCAAGTTGTAAAAACTTGTTTTTATAGTTGCCCTGTCAAAATATAATCTTGTGATTAGCGTGTGTAAATTATGTCCTACGTGAGCAATAAAGTGTACATTTTTACATCTTCTGTAATTAACAAAGAACCTGAGTGATATTATGGTTAAGGTAATTATTTTTTTGTGAGATCCTCCACGAAATACTGCAGAGCTCTACACGCAGAGGTTTTAAATTCAAATAATCAATCAGTAAAATGGAGGACAGTGGACAATTACATGCATGACAATACATTACAAACACATCACTGCATTCTCATTAAATGGCTAAAATACACTACATTCGTACACTTCAAGTCCTCACCTTTGAGTTTGTTGTGCTCAGAGTCAGCAGGGAAAAGGCAGTCGGGGAAGAGCTTGGGAAAGGTGAGGCCTGCATACTTTGGCCGGTTCTCGACATAGTTCCTCACTGTGGGCTGAAGCTTCTTCATGAACTCTGGTGAGGGTGTGCCCAGCTGCTCAATCACCTTGTTCCACTGGTCAATGTCTGGTGTGGTGGGTTAGGATTAAGGGAAACACACATGGAATATGCAGCATCCTGTATGCCTTGGTGTCCACTTAGGTACTACTCCCACATAATACTGTATATGTATTGTGTATTTAGGACAAGTAAAAAGGTCATTTGACCAAAGAAAATAAAGAAAAATGAATATCATCACCAAGTTTCTGATCTCAGAACAGCTTAGAGTCCTATCTAATCATCCATGTGAAATGACAAAAGGTTGAAGTTTGAAGTGAAATAGGATCATTTTTAGAATTATGGGCCCCAATATGAATCCGTTCAATATTTCACAATATTTTTTAATACATCTAATTATAATTCACTTAAGCTTTTCTTCTCACTCTCCTTCCTTCTACTTCAGTCTCCAGTTTTGTAGGAATTAGTATTACTGGCTGCTTCTTAGAACGCATAATCTCTCAAGTGATCCCTTGTTCTTTTATATCTGCTTAAAATACATGAAATACCCAGAGTGTTTTACCATTACCAACTATACCATGGCTTTTTGGGGACCTTCCTCTCAGAGGAGAGGACTGACTGACTCATCGACTGCAGAGTAATGAATAATGGTGGGACTAAGAAAGTGAGTGAAGTTAATAATAATGTGCCGCTACACTTCAGTGGTGATGGCAAGAATACCATGAATGCCGGTATCTTTATCAAAGTAAATTAAATCACCCTCATGCATGAATTATACATCATACTAATGATAATACTAATTTTACCCATGCACCATGATGGTTAAGATACATAAAGAGAAAAAGCACATTGTCAATATTTTAGAGACGCCGCAAAATTTTAAAATGATGTTTTCAGGGGAGCTCATGAAGAATCTGAGCCAGCTGCCCTGACAAGTATTGGATGAGCAGAAAAATGCTGGTAATGAGTCATAAATTGGTTTTCAAAGGCCTGAAAATGTGTTATGTGTGTGTTTGTGTGTGGAAATATGGTTGTTGGGTGTGTCAGTTTGTGTCTCCCCTCCTTGTTGATGATGAATATTTCCTCCCTTACCCCTCCAAACACTCTGAATTACCCCCTCCCCTCCCCATGTTCTCACAGAGGGTGCCAGTTGAGGCAGTTAGCTGCCAGGCCCACCAGAGATCCCCATTACTTCATCTTGCTGGAACGCACCACACACTTCCACCTCCTTTTTGTCTCCATTGCAGACTGGCTCTGATCCACACAGTGCTCAGTGAGGCATTTTTTTTCCTCCACTAAGGTTCTAACCCATGGCTCTTTGGCAAGTTGTTGGATTCACTGGGACAGCTAGAGGTGTTTTTTCCCAGTGTGTCAGTACCAAAATGCCTGATGCACCACTGTGAAACAGAGCATCGTGCACCTGAACGCAACTGCTCTCAAGACCCTCTGTTGGGTTTCTATGAAATTTATGTTTACATGTGAAACACAGTGAGGGAGGGGCGGGAGGTCAGAAGGATACGGTCAGTCCCAGGGAACAGCACTGTCCCTCTTATCACCTCTCCAAAGATGCAGCCGACTGACCACATGTCCACTGGGGTCACACACACACACACA